AACGTGTACGGATAATTTAAAAATATCCACTTGGTATGACTAAAAAGAATCATAGAGAGAGCATCGGCTAAGCCGACACCAATAATCAAATCTCTATAAATAAAGTGGGCGATTGAATTTTTTATTTTTAGCTGAGAGCACATCAGGTGAATTTGGATGGTGTGAAAAACGGCGAAGATGCTGGTCATCGTTGGCGGCATCTGCGACCTTGCCTTCAGCGAGGTGGACCAGTTTCTGCGGCATTTTGCTACCACCCACATTGGCCGGCGAAATTCCGCGTTTCATCAATACCACCCACTAATCAGGCCTTGCCCGATCTGTCCACTCTCTCGTTTGGACCACCCTGTATATTAAGTATATCGTTCAGGAAGTGGATCACTCGGGGTCGCAAACCACTTAACGTAAACTATTTCGATAGCTCGGATCCCTCGGATCGGAGAAAAAGAACAGGCCGAAGATTTATGTCCGGAAACTGGGAAAAGTCGGGAAAAGGGCGCCATTGGACGCGTTTGAGGATGTTTCGGCTTGACAAGAACGCGAGTTCGTTGAACTAAATATAATTATACCGAACACTTTACTACAACTAATTTTAGGGGGCTTTCGCGCTGGATTTGTGGCTGTTCACCGTAACGATGGGGTTTTGACGCCCAAAAAACAGGATGACGATGACCATCCAATCGCCTATTGTTTTGGTTCCAGGCTGGCTATTTGCAATCTTGTAGGGGATTTTGCCAAAAAGGCTAGTTTTTCGGGCTTCTAGACCGTGGTCTATTGGCCCCAGTCAACATGGATTTTCTTCCAACGAAAGTAAAACTTCAAGTTGTTCATTTTTGTCTCGAGCAAAAGCCAAATCTTTTACATGGCTAGAAGCTTCCATTGGAAAAATTAAGTTGATGATTGTAACTTATTTTTGGATCACCTGGTGTAAATAGATTTACCAAAAAAACCGCATTTAAAAATAAAAAATTCCCACGTTGATCTTTTTTTCTAGAAGACACCGCTGAATTTTAAATGAATTTAGACATTGGCACTCACCGTATTCAACAGTACTGTAACTGTAAGACAAACAAGGCTGTTTCTCCTAATCTGTTGTAAATTTTTTAGAAGAATAAGCTGTTGCGGTTTGGAGTCCGGAATTTTTTCTTGCAGGTTCCGATTCTGTAGGGTTTTTTCTGCAAAAAATGTCTTCATCATGAACGTCGATATTTTGGCTCATTTCCGAAAAATTCACGTCTGAAAATAATCGTTACAGCATGCCGCTCTGGGTTATTCCTTGATTTTTGCTGTTTTTCGTCGTTTTTTGGGCCGTCAGCAATAGGAATTTGGCTCAAACGTTTCTAGTCACTTCAAGCAGTCGCACTCCGATTCGAATCCAGTTCCAATTGGGAACGTAGTTGTCATCGGTCCTCTCACTCGCACCCATAAGACTCTATGAGCGACGCAAGATGGACTGCGGGTTGTTACGTTCCTAATTGATACCTTCGCCGCTAAAATTGTTGGAGTTTTGTGCGGGATAAATTTGAAAAAACAGTTTTCAAAAAATTTTCAATTATATTAGAGAAGTCGAAACTGGCAAAACTAGTTAATTCCGGATCACATACAATTGGTGATTTTCGGGGTTTTTAGGCCGCCGTCAAACGTTCTGATTTGAAGTGATTGTCGATTTTTTCCAGCCCCGAAACATAAAAACGTTAGCCAACACACAAAACAGCCACTCACAATAGAGCCCTAATCCAAACATGAAACCGTCGAGATGAAACCCCACATTCAACCACCGAAATCCCCCGATAGCGTTGCGGTTTTTAAAACGAAGGGGAGCGATCGAACGCAATAGGTCTCTATCGCGTTTGTTTTAATTCAAAAGCGATTTACCAATGCACTTTGAATTAATTCAATCAAGTTTATATTTAACCTGAGAATTACGCTAACCATGTAAGTGGCAGGCGCATTCCCATTTCCAACGTGAAAAGTGCCACAACATCCGACACCAAAGCCTGAGCGTGCGTTTGTTTAAAAATATTCTTGGAGGCCGCCCATTGTCTTCATGGGCATGTCGTTGGGCATTATCGGGATGTTTTGTCAATGTCCCCTTTGATTGTTGCATCCGATTCAACTTAAGCCTCTCTCGAGCATCAGGGACTTTTTTGGGCGAAAGTTTCCCCGAAAACCTGCAAATATTTGATGTCTTTGTCCGTTGGAACTTGATGAGAGTTTGTCGCATTGGCATTGTAAATAAACGTCTGGCCAAGCCGAGAATGGCTGTTTATTTCAGTCCAACCGAAAATAGCCCCAGACTCGATGAATGAGACTGTCTGAAATGTAGCCTGCGACAAATGCTCAATGAATTTTCATTCTTTTACGTTTCTTTCGGCCGCCATTAGCAGCCCGAGTCCATAAACCGTCGGATTGTCGCACAAAAACTTATATAATTAGCCCATTCAGGTGAGGAGCGCCTAATTATGGGAACTTCCATATTATATATATGGGGTATTTTGACAAAAAGCGACACCCAAATAGGCAGCCAGGCCCGTTACGTTCATTAAAACAATCGCACGAGCGTACGTTAGTATGGGAAGGTGGTGGTGGTACCCTTTAGGTGGAATCTGCCAATTAGTGATGGCCCCGATTCCTGAATTACACAGGATGATACAAAAAATGTCTATGCAATTTTGCAATAATTAGTGTTTAAATAGTGCGCGCCGCCATCGCTCATGGGAACATTATTTCGCTTTTTCCATAAACATGGTGGGTTCAGCATGACATTGTCAATATTGACGATCATTTGCCTCAATTCCGAATTGCCCTTCGTCATTCGGCTATTTAAAAAATGCGGCTATTAGTCAGGGCGGCAGACCTTATCAGTGCTCGTTTATTTTCTCCAAATTCCGTTAATTAAACATTCACACCAAGTCAAATGGTTTCGGGCTCATTTAGATAAGATAAAGCCCGAAAGTGAACCACGGAACCGATTTTCTCATCTACGGTTTTCGGGTTTACGGTCGGAGGCGCCCAGCGCCGACGAAGAAGCAAGCGGCCGTCATGCTTTCAAATGCATCTCTCTTCTCTTTTACGGCAACTGGTAATTTGGTTTTGGTTGCGATCGGCGATTGTTCTTGGTGTGATTTTCGCTCCTATTTTATTCTATTCTATTCTATTCCGATCCACTGAAAATTGGAATGCTTTTTGATGGTCCGATGGGAATTCTTCGGAGGCACATGGTCAAAAATGTCCAAATCAGAGACAACGAAACCAAGTTCAAAAATTGATTTAAAAAAATCGATTAAAATTTAGCCAGGGCTTCAGCTGAAGCTTTCTTTATCGAGTGTTGAAATCAGTTTTTGTATATCTTATCTGGTTATCGAGCAATGGAGTTGCTGTCAATGACATTACAGAAGTGGCCAACTGCAAAACTAACCGAAATTTGGGAATTCATTAAACATCTTCCGCATAACCGAATGCTGCCAAATTCAACCAGTTCTCAAAGTGAAACTTCTTTTATCGAGTGCTGAAATCGCAATTTTTATATCTGATCTGGTTGTCGAGAAATGGCCGTCGGAAACTAACTGTGCAAAAGCAGCCAAGTCATAGAAAACGAGTCAAAGTTTGACAACGTATTACAACTCTCCCATTTGTCCGAATACATCCAAATTCAGCCAGTATTTTACATAAAGCCTCCTTTATCGAGTGCTGATATCAGCATTTTGATGCCTGATCTGGTTGACGAGAAATGTCAGTCAGAAACTGACCTTTCAAAAGCGACCAAGTCAAAGAAATCTAACCAAAGTTCGAGAACTTAGTACAACTCTCCCACTTATCCGGCGGCATCCAAACTCAGTCAGTATTTTACCTAAAGCCTCCTTTATCGAGTGCTGAAATCAGCATTTTGATGCCTGATCTGGTTGGCCAGAAATGACAGTCAGAAACTGACCTTTCAAAAGCGGCCACGTCAGCGAAAACTAAGCAAAGTTTGGGAATTAGTTGCAACTCCCCCACATAGTCAAATACATCCAAATTCAGCCAGTATTTCACCTAAAGCTTGCTTTATCGAGTGCTGAAATCAGCATTTGGATGTCTGGTCTGGTTATCGATAAATAACTGTCAGAAACTGACATTGCAAAAGCGGCCAAGTCAAAGAAAACTAACCAAAGTTCGAGAACTTATTACAACTCTCCCACTTATCCGATGGCATCCGAACTCAGTCAGTATTTTACCTAAAGCCTCCTTTATCGAGTGCTGATATCAGCATTTTGATGCCTGATCTGGTTGGCGAGAAATGACAGTCAGAAACTGACCTTTCAAAAGCAGCCACGTCAGCGAAAACTAAGCAAAGTTTGGGAATTAGTTGCAACTCCCCGACATAGCCAAATGCATCCAAATTCAGCCAGAATTGAATATAAAGCTTTATTTTCAGAAAAATTATTTCAAATAACCTGCAACTAACTCATAGCATTTTCCTCTTCTAAAATATGGGGAGACACGCCACTGGCAATGTGTAGAGCTTAAAGAGATATCGTGTTATATTATAAAACAACTGTAAGAAACCGCTGATGTAAAATAGGAAAAACATAGTCAGGGAAATGAATTACGAACAATTTCCCTATTGAAAGCAGACATAACGAAATTCCAAAGATAAACCGGGCAGGCCTGGTGGGAAGTGGCGTGCCTCTGTGTGTATGTGTATGTATTATGGCTTTATGCAAAGACATTGAATGTTGTTGCAAAAAGTCGCAGATTTTAATAGAAAGAAGTCGAAGTGAAAAAAAGACAATTAGCAATTAAACGTGGGAATTGTCTGCAAATATTTTAATTACGAGAGCAATAAACAGAAAGGCAATTTTATGGCGTTATGCGGTAATGGTGATTTTATGTTATGTCTGCCGTGTCACTATAAATTCCTGGAGGAGCTTTTCGTGTTTTGCGAAAAAAACGCCATTTCCATGGAAAATCACGCGACTAATTTGCTAATTGACTGACTGATGGTGTTTTCTCTATTGTTGCAGGCCGAAGACGAACGACGATATCCTACCACAAAAAGTATCCGCCACCCTGGCCGTTTTTAGTCCTACAATTAGTCTTAATTTCATCTTTAGTTAGTATAGTAGGTAAGTACCGATTTTGGCTCTGTTTATTTTCTTTGGTCCCTCGTATTTGGGGCAGGTGCGACCAGGAGCGCCTAGTTTCCATGGCAACTGCTCTATTGGTCTTTTTCTCTGGCACAGCCTCTGCTCGCTTTTTGTGCTACGAGGGCGTTTATATTAAAATGTTTCTAGTTAATTGGGTTTTTTGTGTTAATTCTGAAGTATTCTGGCCGAGCCAATGACGTGGCGTTTGGGCGATGATGGTATCTCACCGGATAATCGGACGGTCAAAATTCCGTAATGGCGCACCATCATAAATTCCTGGGGCCCCGGCTCTTAATTAGATCGGGGCCCCAAATCGGGCACGCGAAATTTAAATTCCTTCGGTTGTTTTAACACCAGCTTAACTTTACATGAGATGGCGACGGGGATAGCCCGATTTTATCGACCGAATGGGGTTATTAAATTATTTTTCCTCATGATGCAATAATTTCCCCCTATTTTTGGGGGTCTTAATTAATAATAAAACCGAATCGAGAGAAGGTCGGGCGGAATAAGGAAAATGTTACTTTTTTTCGCTGTTGCTGTTGTTTACCGTATTGCTTACTAATCAAAAGCGCCCATGAAATATTGAAGAAAAACCATTCCCTTGTACGGAAATATGAGTGCAGAGCGGCCTATTATGTCAATTACTTGCAGGTAAATTGCATAGTAGAAACGGGTGCAACAGATTACCCGAACTAGGAAAACGGTAATTGTCTCTAATGGTGAATTTACCGGAAAGTTCCGGGAAGTTGCATTAAGAGTCGTTTGATGCCGGCCACGTATGGACAAAAATCCGACGTTTACATACAAAAGGGCAATTTATGATTGACAGGACTGGGCCTTTGATGTTTTGCGCTAGCAACTCAATGGGTTTTGCATCCGTTTGTTGACTGTTATTGGGGATTTTTTTGTTGAAAATTAATGCCATAGTTTGTGTGTGATTCAATGCCCCAACTTTATATGGGAAAGCCATAACTACAGTAGGAGCGTTGGATCCTGTTTTCGCAGCTTCAAGATAATGAAGCTGAGTTTGTAGGACTTTATTGGAAGGGTGTTTAATGAAGTATATTTTCATGTAAAGAAAGTGATGATCGAACTGGGGCTTTGCCCTTTATCGGGGGTCTGAAGTTGCAAAGTCGTGATATCTCCAAAACGCGTGCAAATATCCAATAAGCCGTAGAGACCTTTTTGACGGTCCGGATCGAGAACTGTCTTTTACTGCGTGAGATTGTTCAAAAAATACTAACCTCTAAAACGATAAGATAAAAACAAGAAACAAAAAAATACCCGATCGGGTGATACGACCTTTTTGATAGTCCGTCTCGAGAACTGTGTTTACCAGTTTGGTTTGGGCACAGATTCCAAACCTCTAGAGAGGTAGAGGCAAAAGTGTCCAAAAATCCCAAAAAGTTTTTTTCGGAGAAACGCCCACAAATAATAAATACTTATAGGGCCTTTACTTTGACATGATTTGTGAACAGATAAACGCCTTTTAGAGTATTTTGTAGAACGAAATATTGAAAACGCCAAATGAATCTTGGCAAATGAAGCCCCCCCATAAATAAATCGCAGTTTCGAGCAATGTAATCGCTTGACAACGGATCCGGTGACAGTCTAAATACCGTTGGTACGTCCCCTTCATAGTCTGGCACTGATCCAGGCGTTCCAGACGGGAGTTGCAGACATAATAATTCGCGACCGATGGGTAGATTGCCCTCAGCCAGTTAAATTCGAAAAATCCATCTATGGAATCGCTTAGCATCGCTGAACTGCATTATTCCATTATTCCATTAAGGTCCGATTTATGCAATATAAGCAACCGGGTGGATTCCTGGGTTTTTAATCGTTTCGCTCACGCAACCACCGTTTCAAACGCCAAATGAGGCCATTTAATTTAAGGCTGTAAACCGAATTTCCAAACTGTAAAGCAAATAATGAGAGAGGAACGTTGCATGTCGCGCACATAGAACTGGATGCCTTTAACCATAAGAAATTATGCTCATTAGTGGTCGTAGGGCCCCCCCGATTCGAGGGGTTTATCAAGAAGGAAAACCTGGCCTGTAATCAATAGAGGGGTGCTAGGAAGACAGAACATGATTTATTCAGTGCTTGATTGAAACCCGGATGCACTAAGCACGGTAATTTGCCGATGCACCCCAACAAACCCCCATTGGATTAATCGGGCGGATTTTTGCGAGGAGAGCAGACATTTTGCGACGGCGGCGGCGACGTCGGCGTCTGCTCGGGTCGGCCTTGCTCGAAATAGCCACAGACGCCGGAAGAGTCGAGATCCGGCATTCCCGAGCCAATTTGCAATCGGTGCCAAAGCGCTGTCCGACCGAAATTTGCATACCTTTGCATACATTAATTATGCGCTCTTCATGCTAATGATTATTATGTCTTGCCAAAGTGCAATCTCATTAAGGTTTTTTGACTCGGAGCACCAAATCTGTTGCCATCCCCTGTAGGAGGGTGAAAATAATCTCCGGATGGGTTTTTCGCCTCAACTATATAGTTGAGCTCAAATTATACAGTTGGGTCATTGAATCTGCACGTTGCCTTCACTATTATGTATGGGCTGGGATTTTTTTGTTCATTTGTATACCTAAAACGAAAACTTTGACACCCGGTATTTCAAAATTCGGAGTGTTTTTCTGTCGTATGTGTCATATGGGAAACTTGGAACATACAAGGAAGTATTCGGTCGATTTAATTGTACAGTTGTTTAACGTGATTCAATGCCCCGACTTTATATGTGAACGCCACAATTATACAGTAGGAGCGTTGGATCCTGACATGAGAGTTTCAAGGCCTGGATCAGAAAGTGCCTTCCTAATGGCTATTTCCGAGGGGGTTTAATGAGTTAAACCGATTAAGTAGTTTCCTGAAAAAAGGGTGAACATTCAAGTGGGGCTTCGCCCTTTTTCAGGTGTCGAAGTTTTAAAATTGTAGTATCTCGAAGACGCGTAAAATTTTCCAATCAGACGTAAAAACCTTTTAGATAGTCCGAGTCGATAAGTATTTCCTGCCAGTTGGTTTATAAGAAATCCCTGACGTGTAAGGGCTGGAAGCAAACATGTCCAAAATATGGGGGCCTTCGAGTTTCACATCCCCTACCGGGGAAACGGCTGCAAAAATCCGAACATCCAGTAGAATCTTTTTGATAGAGCGTTTCGTAAGCTATCATTTAACGATTATATCAGAAATTCCTAACCTCTAAAGAGTTAGAAGCAAAAATGTAGATTCAAAAAAAAACACCTGATATATTTTAAGTGGAATTTGAAACACTTGTACGCTAGCCTGTTTTGTCATATCGAGACCGTCGTCAGACCCATTAGGCTCTGCGAGCTAACATGAAGATTTTCTCCGGGTAAATGTGAAAAAAAGCGGAATAGTATTAACTCTTAACTCTTGGTTAAGATTGGCGCGTGTATCACGCAAAGGCGGCCAAAGGGTTCAATGGCTCCGATGCGTGCCGCCACCGCATAAGGGCCGCCCTAAATTTTGCAAGATTGGCGATAACAACCGCTTTAAATAGCCTCTACACATTTTGATTCGAACCTGAAAGCACCCTGTACAAACGGGCTTAAAAGCGACAGTGTGTGCGTTTTTTGCTCGCAGAGTCGACATGCACTAACTGGTTAACCGGAATAGACGTAACGTCTTATTATATTCAAATAGGATGACAACCGGGCTAATTTAAGCAATTAGTTACTGCCAGAGCCTTATCGGCCGGGAGCAATGCGTACAAGAGTGAAGAGGAAGGCCGATAAAGAGCAAAGAGCGGCCTTTCTTGGGTACCACGTTTTATTCCCATACGCTGTAGTAGTACTACGCGAAGAGTGTGTAGTCGGCAGCACCAGTGGCGGCCTATCAAAGGGGCCCCATTGGCAAAAGTTGACAGGGTAGAGGTTGTCCAACAGCAGTTTAAAAACGGGTACTTTCCACCCGGCAAAGAGTGTTCAGTTGCAATTTTGTTTGCACCACGTTGATGTGTTTTTTCTTGTTTCGAGTAAATTAGGCTTCGGCACGTCTATGCAGACCCTGTCTACATGCACCAGGAAGAACTTAGCGGGAATCCTTTGTGGGGGTCAGATCAGGTCGTTTCGGGGTCCGCCAAGCGTAAAGGACACTGCTCGGATTATCTAACCGGCTCTTCAAATCGAATTACCTAACTGTAACAATTCGAACAATTCAAAAAGCGAAAACAACAGGTTCTCCTATGGAATGGAATGAAACTGGGCATAACGCCGATCTCTATCTGAATGTGTCACCTCGCAGAGCCTAATCGACCAATTAAGCGAGCTAGCGCCTTTTCGGCACCTGACGACCGCCCCGATTTGAGCCCCAGTGACCGCTTAATGCGACTGGCGTGTTTTATTCTGTCGCGGCCAATAAATTGTTTTTTGTCGTTTTTTTTTCTTATTCGATCTGGGCTGGTTGAGAGCGGTACCGCTTAAGCGGACTTTGTCCCACTAATCGGGCATTTGATTGGAACCTCACCAGCCCAAGTGTATGTAGTCTCTCCCAAGCCTTTTGGCAGTGACGTCATTATTTGAGACTCCAAATCAAAATTAATTCCTGGGTTTCAGTCATTTATTTTCTTTATTTATCAATTAAAATACGTTTCGGTGTATTTTTCCACCATCATCAGTTTTTACGTGTAGCGTTGTTACTGCTTTAAGCCTTGGCATACCAACACACGGTATGCCAAGGAATTGAAACACAGTCAGGAAAGTATATACAATTATTTGAGACGCCATGTTCAAATCGGTAAATTGAAATGATTGGACTTGGAAAAATTAATTCGTCAAGAAGTTTCAATATTCTTCCACACTTCCACCAATTGTAACAGTTTGATAAAATACACCATCAAATTTCCGTCTCGCTCGATAGAGAAGTAATAGAAAAAGAACGACAATTATGGCGTCACTGTCAAACAGCCGTTTCTATCACAAAAGGTGCTGCTTTAGATGGTA